GACAGAATCTTCAGTATATTAATCAGTAAATTATTCATCATTTTTTTTTACAGAATTTAGTGTAAATTTTTAGTGATATATTTACATGTCAAGATTGGCTTCGTGTTGGCCACAAGATGTAATGATCTTATTTCATTATTCCTTTTTTAATCATCAACATCACACTTCATTTCTTGCAGTCCTGCCTTCCATTCCCCGCCCATCACCCCTAGCTCCTCCCCTTTCTAAATCCTCGGGTCAAAGACAAAAATCTTCCTAGTATTTACCTCCCAGAAATCTAGAGAAGGTAAACAGAACAGTCGTTCAGTGTGAGATCGTAGACGCCACCTTGAGAAAAACCTTTATAGGAAGACCCCCACACTCCAAGCCGTCAGACGGGATATGGAGAGGAGTGAAGTGAAGGAAACAGAAGTGATATGGGTCATTCTATCGTCCGTAAAATCGTAAAATTATGACATTGTAAGAACGTACAGTACAAAAATAACGTTTTATCCTGCCAGGAATGTAGATTTGGCGGCCTTGTAAGAACATACAGTACAAAAATAACGTTTTATCCTGCCAGGAATGCAGATTTGGCGGCCTTGAGACGCCAGGAGTGGCGATAGCAACGAATGTGCCCCCCATTGGCCGTCACTATGTTTGGGAGGTGTTCAAGGGAGGAAGAGACACAAGCAGAGTGTTGGGAGGTGATTGGCAGGACAGCGGCCATTGCTGGAAGAGCTGAAGCCCTTGCCTAAAAGGGTTTGGACAGTCGAGAAGAATTAGTGGAGAGGAAGATGCTGGAACGGTAAAGTGAGGGTGGGGGGAGGGAGAGGAACAAAAAATAAGGGGTGATGTGAGGGGAAGACGGAAGAGCAAAAGGGAGAGCAGGTGAGAGGTCCATTTAAGTAGGTCATCGCTCCGGTTTACAGGTCGGTTTACAAGCATAGTTTAGAGTGCTGGGGCCAGATTCACGGAGCAGTTACGCAAGCACTTACGAAGCTGTGCACCTTTTTTTCCATCTTTGACGGCTTTGTTTACAATTATTAAACAGTTAATGAGCTCCGAAGCACCAGGAGGCTGTTTATAACAATAACAACAGTTGATTGGGAAGTTTTCATGCTTGTAAACTGTTTAATAAATATAACCAAAGCCGTCAAAGATTGAGGAAAGATGTACACGTTCGTAAGTACTTGCGTAACTGTTTCGTGAATCTGGCTCCTGGTCCCCGGAATACGTCCAAGTAACACACGCTGTTTACACACTTTACATACTCTACTCTAGGAACACAGCGCAGGACACCACTCTTGAAACACTATTTTCTTCAAAGGTCATTTTCTTCCCATGCAATGTCATTTTCTTCACTGTCCTCATGTTCACTTCTCCATTGGAATAATGTTTTAATAACGGGGCCAAGATCTCATTTTCTAATTTGTAAACGTGAACAATAATCAAAGAGACGAACGTTGTGCAATGGAATTAATGTTGTTTATCTTCAGCGTTAGGAAGCTGAGTAAGCTTTGTCAATAAGCTGCGTTAGTAAGCTTCGTTAGTGAGCTGCGATAGTAAGTTTCGTTTGTAAAGGGCTTCCTCCCATATTTGATTTGAAGTGTTGAGTGTTCTTATAAGTTGACCTTTGTAAATTATTGCCGACCAGTGCTGACCTCTGTCAGTTGACCTTTGTAAATTATTGCCGACCTGTGCTGACCTCTGTCAGTTGACCTTTGTAAATTATTGCCGACCTGTGCTGACCTCTGTCAGTTGACCTTTGTCAATTATTGCCGACCTGTGCTGACCTCTGTCAGTTGACCTTTGTAAATTATTGCCGACCTGTGCTGACCTCTGTCAGTTGACCTGTGTAAATTATTGCCGACCTGTGCTGACCTCTGTCAGTTGACCTGTGTAAATTATTGCAGACGGTTGTTGACCTCTGTAACCTTGTTTATCTGGTCTGAACCTTGTTTAACTACCTTGTTTGACTGTAACAGTCCTTGTTGATATAGGCTACTCGTATTTAACATTTTATTGACCTTATTTGCCTCTCTTGAATTGAGTCGTTTGTATTGATCTGCTGACCGTCCATATGTTGACCTATGTTGCTTGTCATGTTGACCCGCATTGACCTGTAGTGATGGATGGGGGCATTGCAGAGGGTAAGCCACAATAGCCTGGTTGAATACATATAACCCAGGAGGGACCATGCAGCGCCTTGTCTCTTTCCTTTCGTATGTGTGGCTCGTGATGCTTGTATTGATCTGTGAGGTTGTTGTTGTTGGCGTTTGCTAGCTCTTTTGGGAGTTTGTTGTGTGTGCTGAGAGTGTGTGTGTGTGTGTGTGTGTGTGTGTGTGTGTGTGTGTAATCACCTAGTTTTCACCTAGTTGTGCTTACGAGGGTTGAACTATGGCTCTTTGGTCCCGCCTCTCAACTGTCAATCAACTGGTGTACAGATTCCTGAGCCAACTAGGCTCCATCATATCTACACTTGCAGCTATGTACGAAGTCAGCCTCCACCACATCACTGCCTAGTGCATTCCATTTGTCATCTATGCCACAGACAAAATCTTTCTAATGTCTCTATGGCTCATTTGGGCTCTCAATTTCCACCTATGTCCCCTAGTGCATGTGCCCCTTGTGTTAAATAATCTGTCTTTATCTACCCTATCAATTCCTTTGAGAATTGTGTGTGTGTGTGTGTGTGTGTGTGTGTGTGTGTGTGTGTGTGTGTGTGTGTGTGTGTGTGTGTGTGTACTCACCTATTTGTATTCACCTATTTGTGCTTGCAGGATCGAGCATTGACTCTTGGATCCCGCCTTTCCAGCTATCGGTTGTTTACAGCAATGACTCCTGTCCCATTTCCCTATCATACCTAATTTTAAAAGTAACCCTGTGTGTGTGTGTGTGTGTGTGTGTGTGTGTGTACTCACCTAATTGTACTCACCTAATTGTGCTTGCGGGGGTTGAGCTCTGGCTCTTTGGTCCCGCCTCTCAACCGTCAATCAACTGGTGTACAGATTCCTGAGCCTATTGGGCTCTATCATATCTACATTTGAAACTGTGAATGGAGTCAGCCTCCACCACATCACTTCCTAATGCATTCCATTTGCTAACTACTCTGACACTGAAAAAGTTCTTTCTAACGTCTCTGTGGCTCATTTGGGTACTCAGCTTCCACCTGTGTCCCCTTGTTCGCGTCCCACCAGTGTTGAAAAGTTCATCCTTGTTTACCCGGTCGATTCCCCTGAGGATTTTGTAGGTTGTGATCATGTCCCCCCTTACTCTTCTGTCTTCCAGTGTCGTGAGGTGCATTTCCCGCAGCCTTTCCTCATAACTCATGCCTCTTAGTTCTGGGACTAGTCTAGTAGCATACCTTTGGACTTTTTCCAGCTTCGTCTTGTGCTTGACAAGGTACGGGCTCCATGCTGGGGCCGCATACTCCAGGATTGGTCTTACATATGTGGTGTACAAGATTCTGAATGATTCCTTACACAGGTTCCTGAACGCCGTTCTGATGTTAGCCAGCCTCGCATATGCCGCAGACGTTATTCTCTTTATGTGGGCTTCAGGAGACAGGTTTGGTGTGATATCAACTCCTAGATCTTTCTCTCTGTCTGTTTCATTAAGTACTTCATCTCCTATTCTGTATCCTGTGCCTGGCCTCCTGTTTCCACTGCCTAGTTTCATTACTTTGCATTTACTCGGGTTGAACTTCAACAGCCATTTGTTGGACCATTCACTCAGTCTATCCAGGTCATCTTGTAGCCTCCTACTATCATCCTCTGTTTCAATCCTCCTCGTGTGTGTGTGTGTGTGCTTGTTAGTGTTGTGTGCTTGTGGTGTTTGCTGTGTGTGTTCAGCTTTATAATCCTCTTGCGGATTTTAGGAATTTGAGCTTTGGTGAAAGGGTGTTAACCCTGTTTGGTCGCTCTAGCAAATATAACCTCCTCCTCTGACCATCTGTTCCCAGTATTGTTTCATCAGGCTGTTTGTGTCAGTATATATCAACATAGACATGTAAAATAAAAGCCTTTAGAGCCCGTATCTTCCCCCCCCCCCCCTCCCCCCTGTAAGCCCAACCCCCCTCCAGGGCAAGAATGGTCTTGTAAGAAAAATCGTTATATTGGTGTGTGTGTGTGTGTGTGTGTGTGTGTGTGTGTGTGTGTGTGTGTTTGTGTGTGTGTGTGTGTGTGTGTGTGTGTGTGTGTGTGTGTGTGTTTGTGTGTGTGTGTGTGTGTGTTTTATATTGTCTTCCGTCTTATCTGCTAACATTTCCCCAATTCCCTCTTTCTCTCTCTCTCTTCCACATTCTCCCCATCTCTCTTCCTTTACTTCTCCTTATCTCTTTTACTCCAACTCATCTTTTCTTCATTCCTCCCCTCCAACATCCTTCCCTCTCCCTCCTATTCCCCTTCCGTTTCTCCCCTATCTCCATTCCCTCCCTCGTCCCTCACAACACCGTTATCTACCCTCCCCTCCCTCATATTCCTTCTACCCCTTCCCCTTCTACCCACTTTTCCCCTTACTATCCAACCCCCCCCCTTTCACATCTACCAACCCCCCTACCCCCTCCTCATTCATTCACCCCCCCCCCCACTACCCATCTCACCCACACACGGACCAAACTTAAAACGTTTGGTTTTAATGGAAAATGACGGGGGAAGGGGAAGTTATCAAGCGAAAACGATTTTAAACGCTATCTAACTTTTTCCATTATGAGGCGAAAAATTGCACGCTAGATTTTATGTAATGTTCGGAGTTGACTTGTACAGGCTTTTTTGCCCCGCAAACTGCTGACTATCGCGGTTTTTATTGTATTTTTAATTTGTTTCCAGAGAGCCAGCTTAAAATAAATATATAATAAATATATACGTATGTATATAATATGTTGTCTTGCCTATATATTGAAATCGTCAGCTCCAACGATCTTAGTATATAGGCAAGACAACAACATCTTTTTCAGAATGCCTAACAATGCACAAGGAGCTAAGCGCTATTAAAGAATATATATTGTTTCGGTACATAACCAGACCATCAACCACAGGTGGTGACTGGGAGCCACTCAAAGCCACAGGTGGTGACTGGGAGCCACTCAAAGCCTCAGATGGTGACTGGGAGCCACTCAAAGCCTCAGATGGTGACTGGGAGCCACTCAAAACCACAGGTGGTGACTGGGAGCCACTCAAAGCCACAGGTGGTGACTGGAGGCCACTCAAAGCCACAGGTGGTGACTGGGGACCACTCAAAGCCACAGGTGGTGACTGGGGACCACTCAAAGCCACAGGTGGTGACTGGGAGCCACTCAAAGCCACAGGTGGTGACTGGGAGCCACTCAAAGCCACAGGTGGTGACTGGGGACCACTCAAAGCCACAGGTGGTGACTGGGAGCCACGCAAAGTCATAGGTGGTGACTGGAGGCCACTCAAAGCCACAGGTGGTGACTGGGAGCCACTCAAAGCCACAGGTGGTGACTGGGGACCACTCAAAGCCACAGGTGGTGACTGGGGGCCACTCAAAGCCACAGGTGGTGACTGGGAGCCACTCAAAGCCACAGGTGGTGACTGGGAGCCACTCAAAACCACAGGTGGTGACTGGGAGCCACTCAAAGCCACAGGTGGTGACTGGGAGCCACTCAAAGCCACAGGTGGTGACTGGGAGCCACTCAAAGCCACAGGTGGTGACTGGGGGCCACTCAAAGCCACAGGTGGTGACTGGGAGCCACTCAAAACCACAGGTGGTGACTGGGAGTCACTCAAAGCCACAGGTGGTGACTGGGAGCCACTCAAAGCCACAGGTGGTGACTGGGAGCCACTCAAAGCCACAGGTGGTGACTGGGAGCCACTCAAAGCCACAGGTGGTGACTGGGAGCCACTCAAAGCCACAGATGGTGACTGGGAGCCACTCAAAGCCACAGGTGGTGACTGGGGACCACTCAAAGCCTCAGGTGGTGACTGGGGACCACTCAAAGCCACAGGTGGTGACTGGGGACCATATCTTTCTCAATTTAAATTAAACTCTTAAGAGTCCATTTTAATTATGTATAAACGTTTTGTCAGATCCTATTCATTTTAAAACATTATTCATTATGTATATCACTGAACATCATGCATTTTAGGTCTCCCAGTCAGCCAGATATTGCATGTATACAGGACCATGTATCACCTAGGAATGTATACAGGCGCTGTTATGTAGTTACAGGCCCCTCATACTTTACATATAGCGATACATAGAGACCAACTGGGAACTTGAGCCTATACATATAGGAACACGTACCCTCACTGACCGTCAGATATAGGAAGGGAAGGAAAGGTAACTATCAGGGGGGAAAGCGCCAAGCCATTACGACTATATAGCGTCAGATATTGGAGTGCTTAACCAGAAATAAAAGCTATGAGTCCATTTGCGTAATGGAGGGGCCTAATAATTTACACATTGTGACCCCGAAAAACTATAATTATCTCTCAATAATTTATTCATTTTTTTGTAGGGGGGGGGGGATTGTTGTCCAGTTGGTGTACGTTGGCGATGATTGGTTACCCAGCATGTCCCAGCGTGTTTCTGCGTGTCCCATTGTGTCCCAGCGTGTCCCAGTGTGTCCCAGCATCTCCCAACGTGTCTCTGCGTGTCCCAGCGTGTTTCTGCGTGTCCCAGCGTGTTTCTGCATGTCCCAGGATGTCCCAGCGTGTCCCAGTGTGTCCCAGCATCTCCCAACGTGTCTCTGCGTGTCCCAGCATGTCCCAGCGTGTTTCTGCGTGTCCCAGCGTGTCTGCATGTCCCAGCGTGTCCCAGCATGTTTCTGCGTGTCCTAGCGTGTTTCTGCATGTCCCAGCGTGTCTCTGCATGTCTCAGCGTGTCCCTGAGAGTCCCTGTGTGTCCCAGCGTGTTTAAGTGTGTCCCAGCATGTCCCCAAGAGTCCCAGCATGTCCCCAAGAGTCTCAGCAGGTCCCCAAGAGTCCCAGCATGTCCCCCAAGAGTCCCAGCATGTCCCCCAAGAGTCCCAGCATGTCCCCCAAGAGTCCCAGCATGTCCCCCAAGAGTTCCAGCATGTCCCTAGTGATAACACCGTCTCATTATCTCTCTTGATAAAACAAGAGGTCTCTTCCCTCATTCTCTTCGCCCTGATAGCTTTAATATTAATGGAGCGCCCGTGGAGACGCGGGAATATTGTAAATGTCTTGGAGTCGAAGTCAGTGATGCAAATCTCTGTCATCATCCTCAGCAACAACCTTCACACAGAAAGCTTCTTGAGCGACTTAATTCCCGAAAAAAACAAACGACTAAACTACGACGTTGTTGCAACGTTCGAACAACGTTTAACACCTAACAAGTTGTTAACAACCAATAGAGCACGTAACAACGTTCTATAAGTCATAAAAACGTTATGACTAAGTGTAACAACTTTATTATGAGTTGTAACAAGCGGAAAATAGGGACAGTTACGTTGTGTGTTTTGCAGAGTTAAACGTCTCAATATGTCATGTTGGTAATGGCTTTGGCTTTAGTATGCAATATGCTCGAAGCTTTTGC